TTGAAAACCAAACTGTTTGGCGCTCGGAAAATTCGAGAAGAAAACTATGGTCGGTCATGTTTATGCACGCTTCTTTAAAAAAAAAAAAAGAAAAAATTAGAGCGGCTGAAGTGACATGGGTATTGAAATTTGGTGATTCAAACAATCACCAATTGAACAACGGTACAACCTAGCCAATATTTCTGCAGCTCTTCTGGAGCCATAGCTTAGGAAAGTCGCTCACAACATAGAATCCAAATCAGTATCGGAACAATAAAATAATTATGTAAATGGGACATAACAAAGGCATTTTTTTTTTGAAATGAAATGAAATTTAGTCAGTAAGTCTTGGTTCTCCCCTTTAGGAGCTTTTAAACAATGACTGGAGTCAGTAGAGTTCTAACAGAGCACAATGAACAGTTTACGGCTGACTAAATAGGAACTGGTAGTATTTACGCTTTGCTAAGCTTAGTAAAATCTCGCAGTTTCTACGTTGAATTATGTATATCCTTTTGGCGTTAGCAAAAACATTGATAACTAAAAATCTTATCATTACAAAAGGGCAACAGTGGATCGAGTACAAATGTTTTTAGTCAACTGATCGTGAGAAAAGAACCACAGAAACTTAATAATAATAGTTCGTTTATATAGCGCAAAGATGTATCCACTACTTGATCGAGGCATTTTGTAAAATTATCCCTAAAATTATAACTAAAACTTACTCTGAGAATCTAAGAAACTAAAAAACTAGAAATATACCTTTAAACTAGAAGCTAAAAATTTAACCGTTAGTAGTAAAAAAGGTTAACCGAACAAAGCTTTCCTCTCTAGAGTGTGTCATTTTGTGTCATTTCGGGTCAACTGTAATCGTAAAATGGCCGTTTAATTGTAATCGTTTAATTGTTAGCGATAAAAGTCATCATCCCATTGAGATTTTCTGTGAAATTGTGCTTCTCTCTGTTCCATATTTCTGTGGCCTTAGTAGCCTGATCATGTGGCTTGACGCTATTGTTCAAGACACAATGGACATCGTGTTTTAATCAATATACAGCAACATAACTGAAGCATTGCTCCACAGATAAGCGTCAAGATAAGGAGGGATAATTGTAGTTACCTACGTAAACATCTTATTGTACTTTTATGCTTATTGATCAAAGGTGACAAAGTTTGCATCTCTTTTCAGTTAATTACACTTTACAGCTGCAGCTCTAATGCCAGCAAGATTCAGCGTTATGTTCCTCTAAACGGCAAGGTTAGAAAAGGGAAGACACTGGGTTCCTTTTGAAAGATTTGTGCTTGGAATATTACGATAACTGTGAAGACCAGGTATCAGCCGTGAACTGAACTGTTCGACAATGGTTAAAAATAGTGACAAGGCTAAGTGTTTTGTGCTGCTGACGAAATTCACACCTCGCAAATGCAGCAACGAGGAAACGTTCGCCAAACTTGTACAAATTGCATCCTATAGAAAACAACTGGAGGGACTTTACAGAACGCAGTCAACACGACATAAAAACCAGGCAGCGTTGAATGTGCTTTTTCAAATTCTTCAAGTTCAAGAGGTTGGAAGCACCGAGGAGTATTCCATAGATGGGTCCGTGTTTAAAGTTCATGTCTTAGAGGATACAGAATTTTAACGTTGTTAACCACAGGGACTGAATTGAATACTTCGTTATCGCCGACATTCTCACGGCACAATTAAACTGTAGTCCGCGGCACTTATTCAAACATTAACTGAAGTGCTTGACTGTAAGAGCACGAGGAAGTAGTTTAAACAGTTCTTATATACCTCAGATATGGCCAGGTATTGGTGGCAGAATCGAGTGAAGAGAATGATCGAGTTCACCCCGATGACTTTTTCTGAGAAGATTGTAAACTCACTAAACGTGCTGTTCGATACTGAAACAAATGCGTCAGCGTTTTAAAACTTTAAAACAAAAGGAAAATTTTAATTAATTTATCCGATAATTCGTTCAGCGTAGATAAAGTTAGAACGACGGCTGAACCATCTGTATTTTGTGTTTGCAAGGAGCGTAAGGTTTTAAGTAATACCTTCATTTTCATATTAGATTAAAACACGGAACAACATAAAACACTGAATCAAAATATTACAATGGAGAGTATCAATGCCTCAGTGCAGATTTGATAAATATTGACCAAGCGCGAAACCCAGTAAACTCAAATACGGAATTTTTTAAATTAGCTGCGAAGTTAGGGGGCCTTATAATACGTTTATAATCGCAAACACTATCTCTTTGGGTTTTGAAAGTCAATTAAACAGAGGTGGTTATCAGGTCGCTCCTAATTGCCAAGGTGTTTTCATTATTTTGAATTCTTTGAAAATGCATTCACGCATTCTGAACTGATCAATCGTGTCCTCTTTTTGTAATTATCACGTCTGTGAACCGAAACGACAAAAGTAAACAATATGACTTTCAAAAGCCCGGAACAGTATTTTCTGTCCAAAGGGACAGCTGCATGGTTTAAAACATGGAGTCAGATAGCTTCTACTTGAAAGGCCAGCTGAAGCATCATGGCATTAATACTAAAACGAGTTTCCTGTACTTCGGAGAACGCATCAGAAGTTCTTGTGAGGCCTCTGCAAATGAAGTGTGATACTTATGGCGTAAGTTGCACGTCGGTGTTGCTTTTTCAGAGGGAATGTGGAAAAGCAGCCGCAAGTTTTATTTGCTTAGAGCAATATGATTGACTCGAGAATGTAAAGAGGCTCTTTTTCACGTTATAAATGTTCTGCTTGGTAAACCAAAAAGCCTCCGACTGTAATCTTTGTCAACAACTTATGTTCTGATAAGACATAGTGTCAGGGCCTAGTGGTACATCGTCAGGTGGCAGCTTAGCCAGGTCTCTGTAACATGTGGCCATAATGAGATATATGACCCCTCCCGACTGAGTAGGATACTAGTCTACGGCGTGTAATCCCCAGAAATTCGTCACGTTTTGAAGTACTCGGCCCTTAAATTCGACTGTGTTTTCCTCGACGAAGGTAGACACCGTGAGATTTAAGTCTCTTGCCCCAAAACACAATATCATGACTTGGTCAAAGCCCAAATGTGGACCACATGATCCACCGTTTACGTTGCTAAACAGTTAGCCACAGTCTACCATCAAGTCTGACCAGAAGTTCTATCAGCACTGAGCTTTGCAAATGGAAGCAAACGGTGGAAAAAGAAATATGGATATTCCTACTTTTGCTCTAAGATGTCGTCAAACAAGCTTTTAACTTCACTTTTTTTCACGTCTGCTTGTTTGGATTTTTTCTTAATCAAAAGCAAAGCAAGTTCGACATCGTCGACCCACGCATCGCAAATGCTGCTGTTAAACTTGTTTTCCACATCTTTCATTTTGTGATCAACTAATTCTTCTACGGTGCATGCTGAGTTATACTTTAAATCAGTGTTATGATCAGAAAGAGAGAATGACGAAGAAGAACTTGTCGTTATTGAATCCTCGGAACTAACTGAATTCCGCCGCGATTGTTTGTCTGTATTCCAGCGTTCTTTTTTACTCTCCAGCTGCAGAGTCTTGAGATAATTTGCCACCTTATTTTGCCTCTCTTTAAAATTTCGCTCTAGCTCCTCTTCCCAGGTCTCTTGCTCAAGTTCAACTTGCGGCAGTTGGTCAGAAGATTCCTGAATATTAGTTTCGTTGAGTGAATCATTATCTTTACTTGTCTCAGTTTGTTTAGGAGAATCGTAAGTCTTTTTCTTCAACCACGGAGACGGTTCAGGAGTTCTTTGTGGGAATCGAGACCACTTTCTCGGCGAACTTTGAACATGACATGTAGCTTTTGTGGTTAGCGCTAATTCTTCTTTCGATATTTTTCTTCCTGCTGTTGTTAAGGGTTTCGCTACCGACGTATTTTGTTTGCTTCTGTTGACTGGCACAACTTCCTTTACTCTGGGTTCGATGGTTCCAACAGAGTTCACAGAAGGTTCTCCTCTATTGACATCACTGGTTTGCTGCTTTGCATTTTCAGAGGCGTTGTTATCAAAGTTCTTCCAATCTGAAAAATCGTCATTAACCAAATCGTTTAAGAAAGCTTCCGTGTCATCTCCATACACCTGATCCAGTAACCCGGATGATTTTTTTCGCTTATTCACAGCCGACATGATCTATCTGCGACGCAGTTACCGGGTTTCTTCGGAAACTGAAATCCTTTGTTGTCAGAATCGTGAGACGGAAACTTAGTCCAGTTTACCAGTAACTTCTGTGACAGATAATTGCCAAGTTCAAACTCGAGGTCAAAAGGTATGGTTGTGAGAATGTAGCGAATGATCAAAGATATTCAATCTGACGTATTACTGATCGAGATAAATGTTTACAAACTTCAAGTCTAGAGCAACTTTCTTTGCGTCGAGCGCTGAGAAAGTGTTTGCCAATTGTTTTTTTCTTTTTGGACTTATCTCGGTCTTTTCTCGTTTAACTTAGTCAGAGAAAAAGTTATTTAAAGAGAAAAGAGGACTTATGAATAATAAACAAAGCTAAGAACGCAATAAATAAATTATGACTTAGCAGTTTTTTGCTTCAAACTAATCATGTTATATCGTGACAACTACACACTATCGAAGCCAGGGAAACTGAACTCATGCCGCGTGCAAAATTCCGAGCGAGGCCAAAACTCCTTGAAATCTGGATACGATACTGACTCATACAGCTCACGGACGAGGCTTATCCGTATTGCTTTCGCCTCAATTACAGTATCTTGAAGTATTGTTACTCCTTCGTGGGTGGTATAAACCACTCCAATGCAGTTGCCCACACAGTATGTAGTCGAGTATCCTCGATAGTTCGCCGGAATCTATTTTCTGTCCAGGGTGGAGAGTGGGAATATCAGGGCAAGTCGCCTGTGGAAGACGTAACTCGGCCAGAGCTCGCCGACTCCAACCTTTTAATCCGGTTAGACTCCAACTTCCTGATATTGTATTCTGTGATTTTTTTTTTCACTTTTCTTTCAAAAGCAAAGACGAGAATTCATTTGTTGACATCAGATCTGTTTCAATAGAGAAAAACTAAAAACAAACAAATGATTCGCACGATTCATTGCAATTGTTAAAATGTAAATACTGCTAATAATAGGAATCTAAATTTTGAAAAAATTTGGAGAATCACACAGCATTGTTGCACCCTTCTTACGCTTGGTATCATTAGACTTTTTGTTTTTCACTGTTTGTTTCGTTTTCCTTTTCTTGTTTAATTTGCGCAGGAAAAATTAAAATCTCTCAACTAAACTACAGAGGGAGATTTGAAAACACCCCAAAAGATTTGGTCAAAGGCAATTCTTAGCTCGATTCGAAATTGCAAGTCAGACGGTATTTACAGTCGTTTTGAAATAGAAACCACTCGTTTTTACTCTTTACTGGTTTGACAATCAGTTCTGCGCAATCGCCTACTCAGAGCAATAATGATAGCGAGCGCGTTTTTATGAAATGCGTGGTAGAATTATGGTCAACTTTATTTTGCTTCACCTCAAACACATTTGCTGCTGCTAACCCTAGCCACTAAACTCTGTTCCCTATTTCTGAGAAATGAAAGAGCGGAAAACCTACAGAGAAGGCCGGACTACATTTGCTTACAGCTCATTTCTTAGGGCGCTTTTTGATTTAGTGTCTTTATCCAAAATCAAAGTAATTACAACCACCATTTGTACACAGGGGAACACACCACAAGGAGCCAATAAGAACAAAATAAGCCAACAGCGTAAAGCGCCAGAAAACGTGAGTAAAACCAAGTCATAATTGACTTACGTTTTGCATCTGCTGATTGATTGCGTGAGGATGGCGTAAGTTTTGTCGAACAATATTACAGAGCAAAGTAAAGCAAAACTAAAGCAATCTCGTATTACTTTCGACAATCGTTTCAGTAACATTACTCTATCAAAGTTTTTTAGTGCACTATTACTACTTCTCAGAACTATTATCAGGGTTTGCAACTGCTGTGGCGTGCATGCTTCATGTGGATGGCTTTTAAGGCATGCTTCCAAATTAATTATGATAACATCTAATAGTGATGAAGCAACTGATTGAGTCATGGAGTTAGCCACTGTTCTGAAATATCTTTATATTGTTTCCTTGAAAAGTCTTTTATGACATGTAAAATTGTTTTCCTAGTCGTTGCTTGGCTTTGTTACCCTTTCTATTTGTTTTGACTCCCATCCTAAAAGATATTTCTCGGTTGCATCGCTCACACCTAACGCATTCATTTTCCAGATTAAAGAATAGACATCCTTCATTTCCATGAGCACAGTGATGGCGAACTACATAACAACTAGAATCTGATTCTGTGGTTGAATTGTTGTCTAACATCACTTGTTCGTCATAATGATTTTCGTGTGTTCCTTGGTCTCTAGCTGTAGCCAGTGCCTGTTTGATGGTTCTGTACCTTTCGACTAGTTCCAACACTTCTTTTTGAAGGTTCTTGTGGACATCAAGTAATGTCATCCCCTCCCCGTTTACTTGACAGTCATCCCATGCCATGTTTGTCATAGTAGCAGAACATCTTTCCCTCGGTCGATCATCGAACAGCGCCTTTGTGTCTTGCAACTCCCTTCTTACTGTTGTAATGACACGGAGACAGATCATCGTAACATGCTCTTCATAGACAACAAGACGTTCTTGTTTGAGGCTTAAATTTAAGCATCGCTGATCAGCTATAAGCTTCGCATTTTGAAGTCGTTCTAGACGAGAATTCAGTAGAAATGTCTGGTGTCGAGTGCTTTGTTCCTGCTCTTCTAATTTTATCTGAAGCAGACCGTATTCCTGACTCAAACTCTCTATCTCTGTTTGCTGTTTCCTTAGGAAACTTTTCATTTCATTGTTTTCACGGAATAACCCGTTTACTTGAGACTGAAGAGCACAGTTTTCTCTCGTTATCGCCTCTTTTTCTTCTTGTAAGTTTCTAACTTTTTCCAGCCATTTTGATTCCCTAGGTTCCGAAGCCTCGACATCAACTGAAGCCGAATTGAAAAAGCTGTCTATCAAATGTGGAAGTTTTCTTTTAGATGTTTTCCGTTGCGAATCACCTGCATCTGTATTGTCTTTGCTCTTATGAGTGTAGTGTCTGTGTGCATTTTCGCCATCTGATGACTGTTCCTGATGGACGGCACCAACCAGAGCTGTCCATTTTGTTTCTTCTTCCGTGAATTTCACTTCATGTTTTTCGCTTTTGAGAGCTTCCTTCTCATTTGTATTTTTCTCATTATTTTCTCTGTAAGCACTCTCAGATGTAATAACGTCGTTACATTGGCTACTTTTATCATATTTAGGTGTTCCATTTGTTTTTTTGTCTTTAAATAGTGATGTACTCTGTACTCCTCTTTTCCATATTCTCAGCGAGAAGGATTTAAAAGAGTTTTCTGTCCTCTCCTCCTCCTCCGTCAAGTCAACAGGAATAGATTTTCTCTCAGATTTCTGGCTTGTTTCATCAACTGTTGCCGCTGTAAAGTTTCCAACCGCAGCCATCAACAGGACGATGAAATCGAGCAAGTGTGTACAGATTTTTCCACCTTGACAGCGAGCATCTTTTTCCCGGCTTAGCATTTCCCGGCAATCATGCCGAGTAGAGTAATTACAAATTTCTTGTGCTTTAGATGTTTCTACTCTGGTGCCATTTTGCGACAAGCTGTTATTACTAAATCGAACTGAGATCTTGGATATCAAATCACACAGTACGTTTTCACCTCCTGGGAAAAAACTCTTGGCAAACTTGGCTGCGTCTTCAGAAGCGTCTTCTGGAGAAGCGAGAAACGAACGTAAAACATCGGACACTCTAACAATATCTGTACACTTAACTTCGTTGTTGTCATTCATAGCAAAGGAGTACGTCTCCATGCCAAAAAATTATGTCCCCCACTTGTTATCCTCGGTTGGTCGATTTTAAGCTTTCTTGATCTGATTCAGTTTGCACCCTAACTTCCGCGATATTTCCACACAGGCTTGACGCAAACTTTTACCTCCAACTCTCGGATCACGATAAACCAAACATTGCTTCAAAATGTCTCTTGAAAGCATAATATTATGGTCGCCATTAACATAACAGAAACACGCCGTTCAGAGGTCCTCTCCGTTAAATTATTTACAGTTGCCCGACGCTTCAAACAGAGAGCAACAACGATGTGTATTTTGGACTCGTCAGTCTGCGGCTTCAAACTAATTCTAAAACACAATGCAAAAACAATACGATACGTGAGCAAAGCAGGTTGTCACACGCAAATACTTTATAAACTTGTCAAGTTGCCAAAGAAACGAAGAACTGAATATGTCAGACTCTACTTGAATGGAGAAGAAACATAAGTTTTTATAGGCCACTGATGCACTAAACAGCAACAAAACCGGGCGAAACGAAATTTGAATTGTCAATAGCATTTCGATTAGACCGATGCCTCTGTAACAGGTGAACTCTAATTGATTTGTTTTTTTTTTCTTTTTAAAAATGGTAACGTATCGGGATTTACTTTAATTTTTCCTAGCTAATTTCAAATCGAAATAATAAAAAAAACCCTGTGTCGTACTTTGTGCTGTATGACTTTTCCCAACTGTCAATTAGTTTTACGTGAGTCTAAACTAGCCAGAGCATTAAATTGCTTCGCTCGTTAAAGAATAATACAAATGGTGCTTAAGTAAACACTACAGGTTTTACAGTTTGAATGAATCAAGTCACTAATGAATCAGTTTGTTCCTTATTCTCAGAGGAGTTTAGTGAGGACTATTTTTATTACACGTGTTTTGTGATTTATGGGAAAAAAATGATGTGAAATCAAGTCTAAGTTTAAGGTGATTCGTGATGAACTGCAGCTGTGAATCTGAAAAATAATAAAATAAACACTTGTGCTGCGTGACCTTCGTGATGAGAACTCCCCGTCAGGTCTCTCCTCGGTAAAAGACTTCACTGAGACCGGCTCAAAACACTGAGGTAGTATCATTTATATCGCGAAGACGTACTACTCAAGCTAGATATCTCTTTTGCAACAATGGTTTTTGGTGGGGAAAAATCGGATCAGTGTGCCAGAAAATCGCATTGAAAGTGTTATCCAGAATTTTTGTCCACCGTTTGATTAAAATTAGGTGGATGCATTGGATTGGTGACGTTACCATTCGCCTTGCTACTCAGTACTGTCTCTAAACTAAAAACCGATTTTATCGCGAGAGTTTTAAAAACCAGACATTATGTATATGAATTGTCAGAGGGGGAAGGTAAATTTTAATTTTTTCATTCCCTTTCTTCGATAGAATAGAATGCTCGGTTCTATCTAATTACGAGTTGGAAGTACTCCTTTCTTAATTGATAAACTAGTACGACACTGTAACACACTTTTAACTTTTCATATTCAAGTCTTGAATCAATGGGGAATTTTTAATACGCGTTTTCTTGCACCTGAGGCAGCTTGTTTTTCCTGTCTATTTTTGAGCCTTAATTATAGCTCCTTGTGATATTTTCTTCTGCTCTGATTGGCTATTGTGAGTACTTTTGTTTTTCCCGTGCCGTGCGTGTCCCGGATCTGGGACCTGGGATGACCCTGGAAACGAGACTATAAACAAATCTTAACGACAGAAATGAGGTCTGAGTAAGGCGTAGCGGAGAGATGCCTTTCTTCAAAAGAAGCAACAAACCCCCTAAAAGAAGACTTGATGCAGGGAATACAAGTTTAAGCAAGTCTAATTTAAGTCTCGCTGGAACTGGCGAGCTTGGTGAATCAGGCAATAATGCTCTCGTAAAATTAAAACTAGGACGACACGAGTTGAGTTTTCAAGATGGCGACTGGATTGCGGGTAAGTTATGAAAAGAGTCGTTCCCTGTAGAGTTTTGTGAAGAGATAACATCGAGAAGAAACTTCCATCTACTTTTTAAAGCTTTATTCCCGTATTGGATCAGCCTTTAACTGGTTCAACCTCGTGGTTTGCGGTGGTCCGCAATTCAAATTGTAGTGGTCAAATTATTTGGTTTGAATTTTCAAACTTTAATTATAAGTGGATAAATATAATTTCTACCGCGGTCCCAATATACTTGTATTTGAAATCACCTTAGTGTAGAAATGAAATTCCTTGCATTTCCGCATTTTCTTGAATTAGATTCTTTTTTTCGCCCCAGGGAATGTCGAGGTTATTCATCTATTGATCATCATTGTCATCATTAATCTCATTACAATTTGAACGCCAGCTTTTCTTCATCTAACTCAACTTTGAGTCGTAAATTTTTCTACCCTATATACTACTTCACTGTTTTTAGAGCCAGGATCACAAAGTAGTTCTAAAGATGGAGCAGAAGTTAGCAGGTTACAGAGAGAGAATTCACAGCTTAAGGAGGAGAACAATTACCTAAAGTACAAGATTGAAGTCCTATTAGACATGGTGAGTTAAAGACTGCTGCATGCGTGTGAACCAGAACCAGACTGTGTACAATTTTCAATTAAATTCTAATTTTTTCTGATCAACAGACCTCTTTAGTTTATATGGTTTGGTTTTTTGATGAAAATCTTAAGGAAGTCCCCCCCCCTTTGTCTTTTGTAAATTATGTGTACATATGCTTGTGAATAAGAAGAAATTTGAAAGAAACAGTTCTCTAGAGTACTGAAATGACTTGTCATGGGAAACAAAACATACAAACTGTGGAAACTTTAATTTTTTCAGTGGTCATGCAGGTAGTTCTTAAACAAAAGTACATTTAATGATTGGCTTTATCTTTGACTTTTTTGATTTTCTGAACTCACTCCCTCTTAGTGACACCCACCATGTTTCCTTTATTTCATTTGCAGATGGCTGCCAGCAATGCTGACTTAAATGTAATGGAGAAAGAACTTGACACTTTGCAAAGTCAGAAACAAGGCCGCAGAGTAGCAAAGTAGCAATTTTAGATGCTGCTAACTTTTATTTATCAGAGTATTTTATTAGTAAATGAATTTACTAAATTCAGGTTTCCTACTTATAATTGATAGCCACAGAGTAACAAAGTTTAGTCAGAGCTGTATGTATATACATTTGTATTTGAAAATAAAGATCAATTACTGTTCATCCAGCAATTGTATTACAAGGTATATGGATTTCCAGTCCATTCACACCTCACAGAACAAAGTCGTAGTGGGACAGGCCATCATTAGCATCAAATTTCTTTGCAAAAGCAAAGTAGAGATATTGGCAGGTTGAATTGGAAATGGCTAAATTGAGTTGGTAAATCTATTCTTAAACCCTTTAACTCCCACTAATGACCAGAACAGAATTTCCCCTTACAATATCAACTGCATAAGTAATGAGAATAAAGAAAATTTGGGGTTAATTAGTTGACCCAAGACTAAATTCTCTAAACTAACATAAGAATTTTGTGGTTGACAGTATGGAGAATTGCAAATTTGATCTGGGAGTTAAAGGGTTAAACGCACTAAAAAGATGTTTAAAGATTATTGTTTTCTAACATGTCTATTCTGGTTGAATAGTTTCAAGAAATATCTTCTTTTGGTTGTCCTTCTGTCTTTTTTTATTTCTGTCTACTTCTATTTTAAAGTGTGATGCACAATTTTGAACTGACACAATGGAAAGAAAATGGTGTCTCCAGGATTAATCCTGAGGATTTTATATAAATATTATTTCAGTTGATTAGCTTGCCTGTACCTGCCCCATTATGCAGTGAAAACCTTTGAAATCAAAGTTAGACTACTGTCAGTAATAGCTTTACAGAGAGGTTAGAGCACACGATATACTCAAGAATACCTAAATTGCCATTCTCTTGAAAAGGTAACACCCGGTAGGAGTGACTACCTGTTGTTAATGCTTAGAATTAGGCTACACACAGTCATTAACTCATTAATGTTAGTCATTAATGCACTGGCAGAGGCTTCTCCTATTAAGTTCTTGATATCGTTCTAATCATTTCAACTGCTATGTTGAAAAGAATTAACAAACAATTGAACACAATACATTATTATGGTCCTTGTTAAAAGTTATAACAGCATAATTACTTCTTTTTCAAAATATCACAATTGTTTAATGATTTTGAAATAACCTTTTTTACCAAACTCATCATAAATTTTTCTGTATAAAATTAATGAAAAATTTTATTTTGCAAAATTTGGCCTCTGAAGGTCCACAAAAACCTCAAGGTAGGACTTGCCTTATTTATCAAAGTAAAAAAGAAAGGGAGGAAGAGGGGAAAACTTTGAGTAGCGGTGACTGTTTTTGTTTTGCTACTGTCACTTACAATCATTTAAAGCGATACTGCTATGTTTTGTGTAAACAATAACAAATCAGTCTTTCTCTGGTCTCTTAATTGACATTTACCAATTCAATTGAAAGACAAAACAGTACCAAAACTTCAAAGTTTCAGACAAGATGCAGATTTGTAGAGTGGTGGTTAAGAAAAAAAAAAGGAAAATACCATGTACAGTTCGACCTCGATTATCAGTACTTTACAATTATCTGGACTTGTTTCTCTGGTCCCAGGTGGTAGTTTGAAACAAACTGATTTACAGCAATTTAGGTTGATGTAAAACGTTGTTGGATAGCCTAAATAACTCTTCGCGCAATAAAGATTTAACAATGTGCATCAATCCTTGCATAACATTGTTTACTAGTATATGATACAAATTTACTTCTACCTAGTGACTGAAAACTGTGCTTAAATAGTACAAGGCGTTTTTTGCAGCTTTCTCATGTGCTGCTTGTTTTTCATGGCCCATTCCACCACATACTGTTGGTGGTTTTGTATCAAGCCTCACGAAACACATATAATTGCCATCATATCCTTTTTCTGGCAAGTCATGATAAGTTACAGTAAAGCCTGATGTTTTTCCTTCGTCTTCAAGAGCTGAGCAAAACTCATGACTAACACTGGTCTCTGCATCAACAACAGAAGGTGGAGTACTGCAATGATGGGACAATGTGTTCAAACAAGGTTCCTCAGTTTCCATTTTATCATATAAATCGCTTGAAAGAAATGGAACTGGTGAGTTAAACTGGCTACTTCTTGAGGGACTTGACCCTGACAGAGGGCTTAGTCTAGAGTGCTTGTCAGGAGACTTCCTTAATGGGCTTGATGATCCATTTTTGTGTGCACCTACTGGGGATGAACCCTAGGGAAAAATAATTACAATAACTGTTTTGATTCACTTTCATTTAAAATAAGATCAACAATAGCTGTGGCTCTAATACTAAAAATAACTAGGTGTTTTCAACTGAAACTAAATAAAAGAAAAAAAAAAGAAAGTGGTTTCTAAAGATGATCTTTGCATGTTTCAGTAGTGCTTTGCAGTGCAGCAATACATACATTAAATATTGCTTTCAGTTTTGTGGATTATATTGGATGCACAGGACTCAATGTATTGAAAAAAGTAACCTTTCAAATCCAGCACTTGAAAGGGAGAAACTATTTTGTATCTGCACTAAATTGTCAAAATTAGTTTCTCTAAAACTCTTGTACAGATGAGACACTTCCATAGGCTGTTGATTGAAGCCTCAAGCTGAACACTGTGAATTACAACCACCATTCCCATATAACAGTGACAAGCACTAAACCTCACTCTATGTTCATATTACTTTGTATTACAAAACCCAACTCCATAATCTGATTCATCCAAACAACAAACTGTCTAAGAATCGATCTTTTTGCATTGAATAGCTTGTTATACCTTGGTTACATTTTTCTTCTTTTGTTATTTTTTGTCATTTATGTACCAATACAAATACTCTGTTTTCCATTTTAATTCACAGGATTTTATCTACCTTAGGTGCCTCACTGATCATGCTCAACATTTTCTCTGCAGCAAGTTTCTTGGCTGCTTTTTTGCTGCTTCCATGCCCTTGAGAAATCCAATCTTCAACCTGAAAACAATCAAAGATTAATCTATTTGAGATGTGCACTAGGCACCCCTGAAAAGATTGCATTTTTGTATATACAGCATTGGTTTTGTAACAATAAATGGATACACAGGGCTATTAAATAAAAAACAAATGTTAAATTCTTATCATTTTTCTTAGCCTATGTGGGTGGCTGGTAGAGGTTAGGGGAAACCAAAGTGGAAGAATTATTTCAATGACCTCACTTTGGTATAACACCTTCTGACACATAGCAAAGGTTAATTTTCACTTTTTACATGAAAAACTCACTATTGTATTGAATTCACAATGATAACCCAGTACAAGCTATGGTCAAAATCTTCATCTGGATTTAAAGCCCTCTCACATTATTAAACCTTGGTAGACTTTTAATTCTAATCTATTAAATAGCTGCACCAAATGGCTGAAAATTGATGGTTTCAAAATCTACATTTTTTTTCAATTCCTAAAAAATAACCAATCAATAAATTATTGAAAATAATAATATCAGGACCTTGCATTCAAAAGTGAAGGTCTTCATGTGTGCTTCTCCCTCTTCCTGTGTCACATTGTAGACTGGTGGAGTCCAGTTCTTCTTCATACACATTTCTTGCAGGCTACCGATAGGATTTAAGTCTGTACTTGGCAAGTATAGGCTCCTTCTAGCTGGACTTAATGAAGATGTTGGAGTGGTACTTCTAAATGGTGTATGGCTCGGAGATCCCTGAAAATAATCAGTAAACAATTGAAAGAAGATGAGGAATGAATGATTACCAATTCATAACTGGTTGGTCATTTTGACATATGCTTGTAAAAGTAAATCTACCACCCTTCAGATTAAAAAGAAAAACTCAGCCCAAATAAAGAAAATCAAGACAATAAATAAGATAAGTACATTAGCAACATTCAAAGGTGTGGCAATGATCACCCAAGAGACCAATATTTACTACATTTGTAACAATTCATGGGCCAGTCAAAGGCGTATTTTTCTCCTCTATTTTACAGGTCAAATTGGTTCAATCATGCTGCCTTCAGTTCAAAACTGACAAAGAAAACATAGTGAATTTCATTTCCCCACCAAAACTTAAGAAAAATGAGAGAGAGAGATATTTTTCCTAAGGAGAGGTATTGGGAAGTTAGAATGAGGTGTCATAACAAATTAAAAAAATGAAATAACCTGTAAAAACTCACAAGACCCCTATTTGTAATAACACTGAACAAAAGAAGGTCTACAAAATACAAAATTCATCTTTCATTCCCTGCAAAAACCATTTAACCAGAATTTTGGCTGTGCAAGTGAGAGTGATCAGAGTTAAAGTGGCTTTTAAACTTACATTAAATTGTTCAAAAGATGACATTTGCTTCCTAATTTAAAGATTTGTATACTTACTATTGATTTTGTATTTCAAAAAGTTTGAAATGAAATGGATTTGGCGAGGAAATGTTATTTTCCTTCCCTTTTTAAAAAAGTGTGACATCAGCACTTATATAAGATTTTTCAAAACTAATTATTTTGAAATATGTGTGGTTAACCAAGATTTTCCCTATGAATGTTGATAGCCCTTGATAAAATATAGTTTGGTTGCCTAGTCATTGGCCGGACGAAATTAGATTCCCGACAGCAGGCACTGCCCTTTGACTACCATTTGTCTTTGTTTCTTTACTTTACATTGTTCCTGAAAAAGTGTTTGCCCCCAGCCAAAGAAGAAAAAAAAACTTTGTGTATATATAATTAAATTCCACGTAATACGAAACAGCATTATTCAAAGTAAGGAATTTAGTAAGAGGATGTATTCAATTCTAAAGCTTGAATTGAGAGTTCGAATTTGCGCAAGGGAAAAACATTGTTGTGTTTGCTGTTGTTAACAATTATTCGTGTTCTCACCTTAGACGCTCCTGGTGAGGTTGTGGTACCACCAGTGTTACTTCTGATGAGTTCCAAAGCTTCCTTCGCACAGTTCGCTTTGGCCTCTTTTTTGCTGTGTCCCGATCCTTTGCATTTTATCACACGTCCAACTTTGACCTCACAAGTAAATATATGCGTATTTATCAGTCCCATGGCCAATTCATCCAAGTAGTTGAAGATCACAGGTTGTCTACTTTGAGCTCCTGCTTCCATCAACAAACTTACGGGATTCTTCGCTCTGTTTTCAGGAGACGAAATGATTTCGTTTATTTCACGCAAGATGACGTCCTCCATGTCGCAAGTAGCTCGGGCTCGACTAGTCTAAGGTATAAAATGTTTCTGCGTTTTGAATGTTTATGGGCGCTATAACTCTAATAGATGCAAATGTATGATCAGGAAGGATGGAGTTGCTTTCTCGGAAAGTGTGATTTCCGTGAAAGCCACTTCCCGCCATCTTGTAATTTCACCAGAAAACCTGGGGACGAGAGCACACTGGCAAAGCAGTGGCTAGTGGGATATCTTCTTCCAATTCGTGGAAAGCGCTCAACAGGCAAAATGTCGATGCTTTCGGCGGCCGCGTTGTTAGATGAACTAATGGGGGTCGATAGAGATCGAGCCCCCAATGAGAAAAAGACTGCCCTACATTGGTCTGATCCTCAGGTAATTTTTGGTTACTTTTATAGTAGTTTATTGTTGGTTATCTGTCTAGTTCGGTTCGTCGATAAAACTAACGCTGATAGCAAGCTTGTTTCTTTTACTTTTCAGGTTTGCAAATACTTCCTTTGTGGATTTTGTCCTTCCCAGCTCTTCGTTAATACTAGATCTGACTTGGGTTAGTACAAAACCGCATCTAATTTTTTTGTAAAAATCGAATTGACTAACTTAAACTTGCAAACCGGGATAAACCGGCCGCATGGTCTTGAGTCAGTGTTTTAATTACGAAGCAATGAGAGAGTCAGCGATCAATTGAATAGCATTAGAGACAATTAAACAATTCACCGGAAATTTCCACTGGCATTTTAAACTCAGTAAGGGTTGTATATTGAACTATATTGATTTTCTTTTACTTTTGTCTTTATTTTAATCTGTTACTTAATGTGAAACGTAGAACAAGTGAAAGTTTGAAAACGAAAGATGTGCGTTATATAATCGGAGGTGTGAGGATGATGTGAATCATCACGAGTGAAAAATGTTAGTAATTTTTAGTAAGCTGATGTTCAAAACCCGTGGGTTTTGCTTCAAGTCAAAGTAGCGTTTGGTGTAAAACTAACCTATGTTCGGAAAGGGTCATGACAACGTCAAAACTGTACCCTGCAAGAACAATTTTTGTGTGAGAATGACGCAATCAACTCCCAGCAATGAAATTGCTTTGATCAATGTTTCATTCTACTTACCGAAATTAGTAATTATTAATTCTGTAATTTCAACCTAACGTTGATGAACAAAGAGCTGAAGTGCACTGTAACCTACATATGTTACTGGAACCTTTCAAGTCTCAAATAAAAGATCAAAGACTCCAATTGTATCTTTTGTTGACAAAAAAAGGATTTTACACACAATTATAATTTACCTTGTATCTCTAGAGAAAGCCTTATGCAAAAGACTAAACATAACTTGCTGTTAATTTTTTTTCTTAGGCCCTTGTGAAAAGGCACATGATGATCGGTTGAGAAAAGAGTAAGTATAGGCAACACATACTTTTCTGTTAATGTTGAGTGTATCGTTCCGTAAAATCGTGGGAGTAGGGGAATTGCTGATAATTAACAACTATTCACCAAAGTGGAGGTGGCTAGTGGAGGATATGTACAAGGTGGCAAAGTTGTGAAATAATATTGTGAAGTAAACAGTGAAATAATATTAATGATCTTAATTCATTTATTCCTGTAATGATAACAGTATTTTTGGATGAATAGTAAAGGATCTTTGGAGTTAGAGTGCTCAGTCAGAGTGCACCTTCAATGCTGTTGACTGTTTTAGTGTGTACTGAAGTAGGATAATAATACTAGTTGGCACCATCATACCAAAACCCACAAAGTTTTAGAGCTAAAATATTTGAAAGTGAAGGAAAATTGGCTTTTTTGATACTAATTAGGAGCTTTGATGTTTTGGTAAGAATGTTCCTAAGTAGGTTTTTTGATGAGATTCTACTTGTTCTGTTCAAAATTTCTGTAAAATGTGATAGCTTCTCAGGGCAGAGCTTCCTTACAGACATAAAGTAATGCAGAATGTATAGTTTCATCAAAATTTTTTCTTTTTTTTCCTGTGTAGCCCTAGTACTTATACTTGTGTGCTGTTTGGGTTAATTTGATAAATTCTTGATGTTATTCCCTTGAGTTGTTTTTGAATGTTCTTAAATGGTATACTTTCAGAGAAACTCTAACTTCTACAATTTATGTCTTTTTTAAAACACATTTAGGTATCAAGAAAGTGGTCGTTTCAAAAAAATGAGGTATGAAGAGGAATTTCTGAGGTATCTTCAAAACATTATGGCAGATGTGGACAGACGGATCAGGCGAGGACATACCAGATTGAACCTCAGTCGTGCACAGGAAGAGAAGGTGAAAACATGTGTATTATAATTATAACACATCAAATCATTTGATCTAAGATTTGTGATACTGTTAAATGCTGTTTTGAATCTTAGGAAAATTACCTTCTCTAACTCAAATCACTGCTAGCAAAAAAAAAAAATTATTCCCCCAGATGTTTGTCATGTTTTGCAAAATTTTAAATGACAGTTTCCATAGTTTTTTTTGAAAATTCCTAACTTGACTTTTTGATTAGACCAATTTATTTTGCAGTTGCCAATTAAGCAACAAATTTGAAGTTATGTCATGGATCTCATGTGCAGTAAAGTTTGAAAATTAGTCTCGCACCTTTCAAAGTCGAAGGTGGTTAACCATTATTGTCTCATTTCATATATTTCTTTAGTTATTTTAGAATCTGTTGAATTTGATGACAGTGCTGCATCTGGTAATCGATGACTTAGGCAGACTTAGTTCAGCAGTTTATTTTATTTGTTTTATTTTAATCTGTTCTCATTTTATTGTACTTTTTTTTATAAATAATGGTCTTTTATTTTTACATTACTCTTTTGACTTGCATACAATTTTTTTGGTTGAATGGCTGTGGTTTTTTTTTTGGCATGCACTCTTATGTACCAGCTACCTCTTGTTTGGCTCTGTTAAGAATCATATGACCTTCCAATGGGACAGAAAGTGTTAGATACTGTGTTTCTGTCACAGGAATTGGCAAGTGGCAAGCCAGACAGTGAAAAAATCAAAATGCTTACCGAGAAGATTAATGCTCTGTTAGAGCAGGTGAGACAACATGTATACATCTTTGAAGACTCTGGTACTCTTGGCTTACTTGCTGTGGTCACATTTTTTTAATAATACAAAGTTTAAAGGAAGTTATATTTTTGTATCAGGTTGTATAGGTGTTTGTTCACATTTTTTTAGTAATACAAAGTTTAAAGAATGTTATATTTTTCTATCATGTTGTATAGGTGTTTGTTTTACCCCTGTCATTCCCAAGGAAATAGTGTATTTAGGTTATCTAACTCTCCTGTTGGATTTTAGTCTTTTACTGATGATAAAAATGGTCAATGCATCAACCAGAGTTAGTTTGTTTTGACATTGTTTAATTTTTGCTTGAAGTCCTCTAGGCTTGTTTTTTGCCTATCTTGTCAAATGTTGTGGCATGGTTTTGAAGAAAGAGGGAAGCAGAATAAATATTAAAAGTTACAAAGTATTTGCATGTACAGCTCTTTTTGGCTATGATTTTATCTTCCTGCTAATCAGATTGCAATCTCTTTGAATTGTTTCTTGTCAATTCAATGTGTGTAGGTTGAACAATTAGGGTGTGAAGGAAAGGTGGAAGAAGCACAAGGTGTTATGAAATTGTGTGACCAGCTAAAGAATGAGCGTGAGGCTCTCCAAATGGTAAGATACAAATATTTTAAATGTTATGCTGTAAATGGTTTGAGCCTAGGTGTAACATTTGATCTTTTAATAAATGTGAGTAGTCCTCTGGAGGTTTGTTATCAGCAGTGGTGACTGATGTTTTGATAACCAAAGCTGTCCTGACCTATCCTGAAGTCATTATAATAGTCAAATGACATTGACTGATAACAGTTCTTTTCAAGCCGACCATTATGTAGATAATCAGACTACTAAATCAATTGGATATTTAAGAAACCAAAGAAACTATAATGGGTTGAAAATGTACTTGGAGCAGATTTAACCCTTGAACTCCCATTAGTGACCAAGACAGAATTTCTTCTTACAATATTAATACAATATCAACCAGATAAGTGATGAGAATAAAGAAAAATATCAATTTGGGAATAATTAGTTGATCCAATACTAAATTCTCCAAACTAACATTACAAAAATAGTATGGTTGACAGTAAAGAGAATTACAAATTTGATCTGGGAGTTTAAGGGTTAAAAAAGAACTTTTCATGGAGAAAGCCCCTTTTCATCATAAAAGGTCTCATTCAAAATATATGTGGCACTCCCTTTGGAAGGTTAGTTAGATGGAGAAAACTCAACATTTTGTTTGCAGTGTTAAGGGAAATACAATTTGAGACAGAGGATCGGTAACTAAGAAACTCAGATGTGTGGTAACTATGACTGAGTACAAGAACAGGCAGTTTTTCATTGACGTCATAGCTTCAATTCCCAACAAAGATGTTCCTTGTTATTAATGGCCCAAATTCTTGGTTTCATTTATATTGGATCAAGGAGAAAAGATTAGGTACATCTGGGTGGGCCTACTAGTGGTTGAATGGTTGAGTGGAACCAGGTCATTTGTTGTCTGGTTCAGTTTCTTATTTACCATTGCTCAAAGGTGAGCAAGGACCTTCCAGGATGACAATATTGGATCAGTGTCAGTATCTGAGCAACTGAGCACCAACCCCTCCCCTAACTTAACAACAGCCAACTGATAACAAGTTAGGGTCAATGTTGGGTTAGAGGAGGGGAGGGGTAGCTGTGCAGTTGCTTTGATACTGACATTGATCCACATCATTCATGATGATTTTGGTGGCCTGCTTGTGGAGAGAAGGAGATAAATTGATCATTCAGAGTATCATTCATTTTTCTATAGAGGGTAACTTTGGAAAGGTTCTGACCGATTTTGTTTGTCACTTTTGTTTGCTTTGTTTTACAGCAATCGCGTGACCTTAACTTAATGTCTGCTCAAGAAAAGCAAATGGAAGTGTGTGAAGTTTGTGGTGCCTTTCTTATCATTGGTGATGCACAAACTCGAGTTGATGATCACTTACAGGGAAAGCAGCATATGGGTTATGCCAAGATCAAAAGTACCATTGAGGAACTCAAGGTGAATTGGGCAATACTCGCACTGTGTCCCAGTGGTGCTTCAAAAATAATAATACCACCCTTGCATTGATCTTAGTCCTAATACCTATCTACTTTATTTGCTGTCCGGACTGAAATTTAACACTAAAATTAAAAAATTTCATGACTGTACTTCAGTTTAGTCTTCCTGTAGAACGAGTTTTAAGTGAAAGAAAAAGGAAGACACCTTAGGGAATAACTAGGTTACCGAAAATTTGCCCTGCTCGCTCTAAATGTCCAATTCGTTGCAATGCATTTTACTTGATTCCTCTTGTATTTTTCTTCCCTTCAGAATAAAAGGAACGAAAGGTCTCGGTCTAAATCCAAAGAGACGATGGAAAAAGATGACGGTTCTGAAAAAAAGCGAGAGAGGGAAGGAGAACGGAGCCGTGACCGGGACCGTGACGGGAGAAAGGACCGTGACAGAGACCGTGATAGGGATCGTGACGCTAGAGGACGCGAAAAGGATCGTGACAGAGATCGTGACAGGGATCGTGACAGAGATCGTGACAGGGATCGTGACAGGGATCGTGACCGAAGGAGAGACCGTGATCGTGACAGAGACCGTGACCGCGATAGGGATCGTGACAGGGACAGGGATAGGGACAGGGACAGGGATCGTGGCAGGGACCGTGAACGTAGAAGGGATCGTGATCGTGACAGAGATCGTAGCAGGGACCGTGACCGGGATCGTGATCGTGACAGAGACCGTCATCGTGATAAGGAGCGTGATGGTGAAAAGGACCGAGATCGTGACAGGGATCGTGAGAGATCAAGGGAAAAGGAGAAGCGGCGTGTTGAGAAAGATGAAACGAAAGACGGAGATGGAGAAAAACTCGAGGAAAAGGAGAACGAAAATGGGGAAGATGAGAAAGAAGCCACAGTCGAGAAGATGGAAGGAACCAATGAAGGTTACGACAACCAGGAGAAAGATAAGTCCGTCAGATCTCGAAGCAGGTGAGTGGTGTCTTTATGGAGTGATATTAAATGAGAGCATTATGCAGAGATGGCAAAGTTTTAGCACAGTTAAGCCGATTTCTAATTAGTTGTTGATAATGAGAAGGGTAGACATTGTTATTTTGGGTGCTAACGTACAACGAGCTGCCCACTGATTAAACACCCCGTAAATTGGATCAAGAACTGAAGGCTACTGCGAAAGCAAAGCTACCTCAGCTCAGCAGAACGGAACAACAAAGATTGAGGTACCTCATTCTGTTGTGATTTTCAATTTTGAAATTTCCTCAATTCATTGCTTGTACTAAAGTCATGGCAGCAGCTATCATCTGGGCTTGAAGATAACTGGAAACACAAGGTACACACGCAAAGTTTGAGTTCAATTTTTAATTTTTTGTTAATTATGGTTTTCAACCAAGCTGATCAACCGAGGTTCGTATGTAAGGTAACTTTCCTGTTTGTTTTTGAAATGAAATTTTCGTTTCTATTCGTAATTTTTTACTAAAATGGAGTCAAACGTCTCAATGCGAAGAATCGCTCTCTAAAAGGAATCGATGTCGCTGCTCAAACCGAGTGGCAAAAAGTTAAGTCACAACTGGAAGAGAGTCGAACGTCGTGATCATTTGAAAGTAAACTTTTTGTTTGAATGTTAAAAGAAAAAGAAAAAGAAACAAAAAAAACATTTTAAATTTAAAAGTGAGACCTTGGGAAGTTAAAGAACTCGCCACAGCAACGGAATTGAAGGTAGCAGTTGTTGTCAGACTTCAGTTTACCGTATTAAACCAACTTACGTTTCCAGTGAGTCACTCAAAGGATATCAATCTCTACCGGCGGATCAGCCAATCACTCAGTCGACATCTTGTAAGAGGTATTCTCCCAGGTATTTTAGATCATCATGTGTTTTGCGTAAGACCCACCAACGCCTATTTTCAGCCAGCCGCCGAGGAATGGTTTTCCTCATACGCACGACGTTCTTATCGATTTAAGAGTGTACATTATTTGGTAAATTATCATTAGGTGTGTGTGTTCGATATGTTAATATGGTCCGGAATGGTTAATCTTGTGTTTCCCTAATGGTGGAGATACAAGATTTAGCCTTTTAATTTCTATTTCACGGTGATCATTAAGTGACCTAGAGGACAACAATTTAACGAACCTGTGTGGTTTGTGTTGGTGGCTTTCTTCTCTTGATTGAGTAGTGTACGAGTGTTCATTTGTTTGCTTGATTGAACTCTGATATCCCATCAGTGAGGCGTTTTTTGGTTTTTCTTTTCCTTCCACTTTTCCACTGTTTGGGAATTTTTTGTTTAGTTTTCGAGGATGTCTTTTTGATAGTCTCTTTCTGTGTCCCTATGGAATCTTTGGATGTTTGTCGTTCTCTTGCATTTACTTCTTTGGGCGATGAAGCGAGTTAAAGGAAGGAACGGCGCACTCACAATATCTGGCTAAATCCTCAGTTGTTGTTGGTTTTTTCAGCTGGTGACTAAGGGTCGCTTCTTGTTCAGGGATTAGTTCGTTGAAGTCCAGCTCAGGCTTGGATAGCCTGATCATCTGTTGGCCCCTCGGCTTAAATGGTTTTATGTCATTTACAGGTCACGTGAGAGAGAAGAACACCACGACAAGACTGGGTCCTCGTCCCCAAAGAGCAGGTCTCGATCCAGGTCCCCTCTATAGTGTGCAAGTCCAGTGAATCATACCGCAGACCAGAAAAGTGATGGAGAGCAAGCCCTGTTTTTTACTGAAAAGTTGTCATTTCTAGTAGGTTAGTTTACTATAAGACGAAAACATCTTAAATTCTAGGGTTCGGTTTTACGTTTAGTTACCATGAGCTTCAGTAAATTTATAGTGTTGCCAACCCGTAGAACATAAACATATTTCTCAGAGGTTCGTTGTTAAGAGCCTGCTACATGTGTGTGTTACTCGAGGATTTCATTGCAAACAATCCTTCAACTTTCCTTTGAGCGATGTCCTTTTCAGACACCCCTAAAAGTATAGAAAGGTTTTGAACCAAGTTTTGTCTGTGATTGGACCGGTGTCTTGAACATTGTGGAAGATTGGGGTTCTGCAGTGGCCACAGCATTCAAGATGGCGGGTCCATGATGAAATGAAGATAGTTCAGGTTGTTCGCCATCTTTAGTATCTCGTGTAGTTAAGTGGTAGCTACAACTTTCGCTCACTTATAATAAACCAGAAGGCACCTAGATAGTTCTTTCCTTCCGTAGATGGTCGAATCCTGCAACAAGATAGTACACTCTTGTATTTAGGTTGAATAAATCAATTCCTTTGGTGAAAAGTTTGAACCATTCTTTTGAGGAGCAAAACCGCAACATTTAATATTGATTTTTTTTTTGTTATGAAGAGTCATGGTTAGCACAATCTGGAAAAGGTGTTGAATTGTTATAATTATCTTCAAAAGCCCTTTTGTTTGGTTTGGGTCCTTGAAAGGTACTTGATTTTTTCTTCTGGTTTTTGAGAAGTTGTTTAAATATTATGCACCTTTGCCCGGGGAGTACTTCAATTTTATGCGTATCTCTCAAGCTTTTGATGCGGGTTGTCCGCTTCTTGCCAGTGTTGCAGCAGGTTACGTGTACCCGTCTCCATCTTTTTCAATACGTATGTTGTGATTCGGCTTTATCCCCTGTGTAAGATTTCCTTGTTGACTTCCTCGTTGTCTTTGTTATTCTTTTGTTGTCGAGTGGAAAAAATGAGTATGCAGCCAAGGAAATTTTTTCGATGGGAAGAGCGGCCATTAAAGAGACTCGGCAGAGAAGCAGAAGCTTAGTAAAGCTTTACGTTCACGTGATAATTCGAATGTCTTAATTATTTTTAAAAGCAATCACCACCAATATCAAAAATAAATCAAGTAAATAACATTTTGGCATTTGAATGAAAACTGATAACGGGATGATCTGGCTGGAAAAGGACTTCATAAAAGTCAAGCTTAGGTGGGCGTGAACCTGATCCTCTCGGAAAAACTAACCTGAGCTCCACGAAATCGTAATTAACTGGTGGATCTGTATCGCCTCCGACTTGTCGTTGCTTAGCTCCGACAGTAGTGTCCATTGCTGGCGGTTTTGTGAGCCCTTTGCGATTTTGCGTGCGCGGTTTTCGCGGCCTTAACGCTCGCGGCCTTAGCGCTCGTTGCCTTCGCGCACTTAAAGCCGCTACCAATGCAGGTTATTAGTTCAGTTAGTAACACACAACTCGTACTGGGGAGGCACAAGCTGGAACCCCCTCGTATTTCTGTGATTGCAGTTCCTCGCATTATTGAAATGATTACTTTTCTAATTCAATTTTTAACAGTAAGACATTGATTTCGGAGAATCAGAGTAGCAGGGTTTTTCGAGAGAGAAAGAGAGTGGAGTAGGGGGTGGCGATTTACCAAGTTACCGGACTCCTGAAGGTTCTTGGCGGGACCTGATTCTCTACAGACTATTAACTAATAGATAAGTCTGAGTCGTGTATGAGTAACAGAATTTTCAAGACAAAAGTAGAATGCTATTGGAAATAGCTGATATTGGTGTCAATTCAAGTTGGAAGCAATTGAGTAGAATACATTGGATACACCGTTAAAACAAAGTTTAGGTAAGACTTCTTTGCGATTCAAAGTCCTCTTTGATTACAGTTCAGCCATAAGAACTGTGGCTTTCCATTTTTAGCAATTAATTGCCATAGGCAATTTTAAACGACTTTGATTATATAAATATCTTATATTTGAACCGCGGATTGTTAAATGAATAGGGAAGTGATCTTCGCAGTAATGAACGCTACGTATAAATCGCATGGGGCCTAGTAAAGTTGAGGATTTATGACATGCGTTTTCTCAGAAGATGCGGCGCGACTAGGACAATTTCTGCAACTTCTGAAAACACAAGCGATACTAATCCTTATTTTTAAGCAGAAACATACGATTACTTCTTTTACTAAGAAGTCAGCGGTCCGTTATCGCGCGACTCTCCTACTGTTTTCTCCATTGATCGTCGGCATCCATGCTTCTGGGATTTCTTTTCCACTGTCCCTGTTAATGTAGTTAGGGTGAAGTCTTACGTGAATCGCCTCTTTTCCATAGTTTTTGAGAGATATGGAAGAACTTGCAGCTTGTAGAACAAAAAGTCAGTCAGTTTGGAAGAGAACAAAAATCAGGAAATTCCTGACAGCTAGATTAGGATCGTACGAGTGATAATTAACACATCTGTTAATTAATCTCTGTCGGTTTAGACCGCTGAGCAAGAATAATTAAGGTACGTGCGAAACCTTCGCTGATTTAACTGCCTTCAACTGTCTTGCCGAACAGTTTACAATTACAAAAACTGCATATCCTGACCAGGAGCCCATAGGCTCCTGTCCTGATTGAGTGTAGCCAAGGTGTTGGTGGTCCAGTCAACCTAAGCTTTTCCTTGTCTCCTGATCCATGGAGGGATTTCACCTGGATGGTTACAATGTACTCCTGACTTAGGAGAGTTCAGTCACAAAAAAATTTTATTGGGGACTAGGAACGAAGTCGAGCAATCTGGGGCAGAGGCTGGGTACTGACATTGATTTAAGATGGCGTCGGCGTGTCTCGTATTGTTTTGCAGTTCCGTAAAGTTGCAAGTAAGTTAATTTAATTCTGTAAAATACGACCAAGTTGGTTAGAAAAGGCTTGTTCACACAGCACTTCCCTCTCGTCCTGAAAGATACTCCGATAGCGAAAGACGTTACATAGATATTTACTTACAGTCTAGATATAGTAGTTGTATTTAAACTCTCGGTTGACCGAGTTTGACCGAGTACTGAAGAGAACACCAATTCATGTTCTCTTAGATGAAATGAAGCAAGTAGCAAATAGCCAATACCCTTACTGTACCAAAGAAAGTAAGCCGTGACAAATAGAAGGATGGTAGAGTCGAGCGAGTCGAGAGCAAAGAACAATTCTCGTCACTCCCCGCTCTTTCTTTATCATCTGATTGGTCTTTTTTTTCCCGGAGTGGACGGTTAGTTTATCAATCTTTTTTCGCCTGCTTCGGAATGATTTTTATGATTACATGCACAAAAGGTGTTAAGGCGCTTCACATGTTCACATGAAATTGTTCATTCCAGATTACCAAGAGATTATAAACTATAATCTCTTGAGATTACTTAAGAAATAAAATGTTGCTTTGTTCTTCAATAGGAAAGAACATTTATGAGACACCAAGTTAGTTTTACCAAGAGACGATCATTGATGGATGTATTGTCTCTCTCTGAAAAAAAGCCATCGCTCTTACGACCAATACATATGTAACTTTGTGAATAGTGCATTTTTTAGTCGTGTTGTAATATCCCTTGTGGAACAGAAATACCAAGAGGGAAGAGAAGAAGTAAATATGTATTGGCAATCGATCACTTAAAGGTCAATTACGCTGTAGTTGATCCTCTCTTGACGATCATCACAGTTTCCAATGGAATGTGATTGACATTAATATCCTCATGTTTTCAGAAAATTTTGGAAAAAAATGACAGAAAACTAAAGTGCGTCGGTCAATGGAATTTTCAGTAAACACGTTTTTGAACCACGAGATCGTAATCTTCACCTGCGGTCATCCACTTACTACGTCATTTGTTTACTTCGCGTACGTGGAATAATTAATTTTTTCATGCGCTGCTGATGTAAACTCGGAGTATTTTTGCACAATTCTAGAAGCCTTCCAGAAGCAAGGTCGCAAGCACGCACATTTTGTCTGGAAGTCTCCATCAGTGAACGGAAGAATCATTTTTGTCGACAGAAGCAATTTTGCGTCCTGATCATCCAGTTTCGATCAGGTTTTCGAATGTGTGAAAAGATCAAACAATCACGCTCGTGCGACACTATAGCAACAAAGCACTGAGGCAACGACAAATCAAATGGCAATGCGCGGTGTATTTCACGAACTAATGATAGGTATGTTGCTTTAAAAGTGATTTTCAATAAGTCTTTTTAACTCCGTGGCTTAAAGAATCTATTGAGATCGATGATTTGTAACTTCTAAAATCTGTCAATTGCAAACGAAATCTTCCCGTCACGCCAGAACACCGAAAACGCGTTTGTTGCGAATCTTGTTTGAATCACGCGTGGTCTTGGAGCTGGACTTTTCTCATCAAAGAAAACACTTTAAAGCTCTACACAAGTGCATAAATGTTCTTCTTTCCGGCTGTGAACATTTTTTTTTCATAGCAACAATATTTCTGTCGTTTTTATGGATGAAAACATGTCACTTGTCACGAATGGTTTTCTCCACAACGTGTTCAACCACAAGAAAGACGGTTCGACTGATCTTGTTAGCTTATCAGCCAAATAAAAAAATACCCTAAGATTTGCTCAAATTTTGCATTTCTTCTTTCCAATAAAACACAAAAAGTTAACTTTATAGGGACTGTGAAGCTGACGAAAAATCAGCAAGAAGGTGTTTGGGTCAATTTTCTTTGGCTCTGAATATTAAGAGCGAAACTTGACAGTGTTATTTTTGTTGTCATTTGCCGACAAGTCAACAGATCGCAGTGTTTGATATGTGTACTTTGTCTATTTGCAATTTGACACTAGCCAAACGTATACAGGCCGATGGTGCAAGGCTTCTATCGTTACGATGAAGGTTTAGTTTTCAATTTGTAAGTTCCCGACTTTCTTTTCCTCAGGCAATAAAGTGAGCCGTTATAACTCGTTAGATTTTGTTGATAATAATTCGCATTTTGAACTGAAATGGAAAAAGGCACCACGTAGTGTTAAGGACGAAAGAGGCATTTGTTTGGAAGCAATACGTGATCAAGGAAGGGGAAAGAGGTATCATGAAGCTTCCTGCAACATTCAGGTACTAATATTGTTTATATTTTGGTAATGTTCTCTCGTATTTCATGAGTTTATTGTACTTCGTACTTGAGAATCTCAAAACAATATACATTTAGACGTTTTAAATTGAATTTCTTCGAGGAGTGTCGCAATGGTGTGGTGGGCGATCGACGATCGCTTTTCTATCGAGATTATCACAATAGAAATTCAGTCACGTTTTTCGGATGTAAACACGTGTACGCTCAGAAGGTCAGAATGTATATTGTGCATGAACTTGTAAATTCATCCATTATGTGCAAATATTTTGTTCTCGTTGTATCGATTGCTCAATAACACCTCCGTCAGCCTTTTCAGCACAGGCATTGATCCTTTTTTTTTTTTAAGTTGGAATGCATGTGGAAAGGTCACCAACATGAAAGGTGACAGCTCTGCATATTTTCAGCGTATTAAAAGATTGATGTTTACCGTGAAACTGTCGCTTTGTTGTTATTCCCTTTATCCTTTGTTCTATTTATTTGAAAACTTTCTTTGTGGTGATCGTAGCTCCTGCCTTTTTCCAAGTTTCATTGTTGCTTGAATTACTCAGAGCACTTATACGCATTTGACTTCATTGCTAAAAATTTAATTAACAAGAGAGATTCATGAGAAAATCATTCATTGGAATGTATAGGGGATATGACTTTTTAGGATTCATCTTCACTACTTAAGCATTTCAACCAGGATAGTTATTCAACGGAAAGAAATGAAAACTAGATTCTAGAGTTCCAAAAATAATTTACTTTCTGAGATCTTGAAAAAATTTCAAAGATCCGTGACCGGAACCTATAATAGACATTGTAATATTAAATAGTTGACTAACAGAGAGATTGTTTTTAAAATAATTGATTAGTTTTTTAGGGTTGAATTAAAGCGCACAGGTTCTTAAATGTATGCATCCGAATGATTTTAAATTTTATTGTCTCTTGAGGTGATACTAATGTTACGACCCACAAAATTAGATAAAGTTCAGAAATAATGGTGTGCAGTAGAATGTGACTCGAAATTGATCTTAAGCTGGACAAATTTAAACTTAAATAACCTCTCTTAGAACAAATCGTACGAAGAGTCTGAAACTTTTTGGTTAAAATGACAATGAGTTTACCACAACAACTTTTTGGTTGAAAATTCACACAATTTGTTGGGCCACACTCGACTAATAATTCATTCATTTTTCTCCTGCTAGAAATACTGTTAAATGTTGCTGCCTTAATTTTGTAACTTAACTGAGAGCACTTTTTGGGATTTTTGGATTGATCTTGAACACTGGTGATTGCATCTTGAAATTTACTCAAAAAGACACTTTCTCATAAATTGAAGGACGTAAGCTCCCTTCTTACAAATCTAGTTTTTTTTCCTTTGACCTCTCTTGTATTTTTTCCTCTTCTTTTTCTTTTTTTCTCTTTCTTTTGCTTTCATCTTTCAAACTCCTTAAAGAATTTTGTGCCATTTTGGTTTCATGTGTTGTTTCAGAGTCCTTACCCAACAGTGATAGGTGATTTCATCACATCCTCTTTATTCCTTCATTTCTTCATTCCATTGTTTAAATTAGTTTTCACCATCAAAATACTCAGCAACCATTCTTTTTGTTGATACTTGAACTGTGAAAATTGACCAATACAATAATTTTTTTCGTTAAAAGGGACACAACCCAATCATTTGCCATAAATATAAGACAATGTACGTAAACATGTTAGGTTTTTTTTTTTAATTTTATTTTTGATACGTTTGTATATTGTTGTTAATTATGAGCTTTAATTTCTTACAAAGCAGACTTACAGAATGTTAACCTACACCAGTAATTTCACCCTAACACCACCATCAGCAGCAGCAGCAGGGGGCAAGATCAAGATGCAGGACAGTAGCAATCATCCTGCTACAATGGTGGCCATGATTCTGCCAGCAGCTGTATGTTTAGTGGTGGTGATTGCCTTGCTGTTGTATCATTACTATAGGAGAGCATCAGGACCAGTCTGGATACCTAAGGTATTAATGAACTCAAGTCATGTACTTGCAAATTATGTGTTTTGAAGGAATTATGTCATGTATCTATTAGAGGGACTACTGGTATTACTGTGAAACTGAGAAAACCATGACACCAGAAATATTTGTGTAAAGGCCCTTGTATACAAGAATGGAGCCACTGAGACATAAGAAAACTAATGGCAAACAGCCACATAGTTACTTTGTGGTTTTTAAGTTTGCTTGCATGTCTGGTAATAATTGTAGCTTGCAAGGCAGGCTTATTTTTGGTAAGCAGGTGCTCAGTATTTGGTGGTGAAAATTATAGATGCCTTATGCAATATTAATGGCAGCAGAAGGCTGGGAAGAGAAAAATGTGCATATCAAGGTGGCAAGTGATGGTCAAAATGAAGGAGAGGGGAAGGGGTGGGGTATCTGGCCTTTCCTCTTCCCTTCCCCCTTCAGTCCACTCTAACTCTAAATCAAACATGGCAAGTCAAATAAACAATTGGTAGCTTGTAACCTTAATTGGAAGTGGTAATATGTGAATATGAAAGTGATCTTCGCAGTAATAAACACTACCTAAGCAGTAGTGAAAAGAAGGCCTGAAAAAAATTCAGGCCTGTATGGGATTTGAACCCATGACCTCTGCGATACTGGTGCAGTGCTCTACCAACTGAGCTAACAAGCCAACAGGGAGCTGGTCACTGTGTTGGTTCCAAATAAACCCATGAAGTGGTGAATAAACGGCTGTGAATATATGAAAGTCACATATTTGAACTGCGGATAAAGACGTGAATATGAAAGCAATCTTCACAGTTATGAACATTACTTAAGCAGTAATAAAAAGAAGGCCTGAAAAAAAATCCCATTTTTTCAGGCCTTCTTTTCATATTCATGTCTTTATCTGCAGTTCAAATATATGACTTTCATGTATTCGCAGCCAGTGATAATATGCTTGCACAGCAGGCTATTGCTATAGGTCACCATATAATTGATCTGTTAGAGTCTACAAATATGCTCTCAAATTGCTGAGTTTCACAGTTATATCTTATTTTTTAATTTTTTTATTTGTAATTTCAATTGCTTGAATTGTTTCATCTCCAAATTAGTTGTTAATCATGTAATCATATGAAGATGAAACTATGGTTTATATAGAGTATCTCAAAATGTTAGGTCATATCATTCAAAAACACTCTGTTTGCGATCAATTTGTCAAAGACATGGACGCATTTGTTTCTTGAAAAAATATAAAGAATTCTAAAGAAACTCCTTCGATGATCTTGGTCAAATTAACCATTAAAACTAGGTTGTCATGGAAACTTTGTGTCATTCAATAAACAATTTTCACTTTCAAAGGTTCAGTCAGCGTAGTAACTTTGATCTTCCTTGCTGCTCAGGCTGAATTAAAATAAGTGGTATAAAAGTATCAAATTGGATTTTAATTTGCTTTGAGCCTTGTTTAACATCTAGTTGAACTGCGCGCTTTTTATGGAACTTTTTGATGTACGGCAAAAATGCTGAGGTAGCAGTTTTATGTTCGTCGGAGAAATCTTCGCGAAAAAGCTTAGAATGCAAAATTAACTACCTTATTGTGTTTCATTGGATAGGCTTGTAGTACCTTGGTATGTTAGATATTTGTAGTGCTATCAGAAAAGTAAACAACGACCTGGTCACTTTTTAACTTTACCTTTGGTGACACAATTTGCATTTGTATAAAGCTATTGTTTTGGTCGTACACTACTCATTACAACGTGTTCACCGTCTTTTGGTTTCGCTAGCTGTGAAATCTGCGATCTTGTCTCCAATTCTGAAAACGAAGACTCGGACTGGTTCTATTTTGTACTTTTGTCGAGTACGGGAAAATCTGGGCTTAATTTGAAATCGGAAAGAAGCCACGATACGTTTTGTTCGTAGAAGATCTGTAACCAGAGATGAAATCTGTCGGTACCGAGTGCTGCAGTACATTTGTATCGAGAGACAAGTTGTCATATAATTGGGAGAAAGATGCACTTTTGTTCAATAACGTTTGACTTTGGAATGAAAAAGAACATTGGCAGCACTGGAAACAGATCACGCAATGTGTACGGTATGTTTGAATGTCCAAATAAATTTAAAAATGTCTTTCATCTGTTCACGTGAAGCAATGTTAGCGTCTCTCGAGATTAGATAGGTGCGTTACAGTTTTTACAGCTAAGATTTTAACAGGCGTAGTTAGTAAAAGAAGCAGGCCATATTTACACCAAATTAAGAAGAATACATCCGCGATAAAGATAATTTCTTGTGAAATAACTGAGTGAAAGGTATTTTCATTTCCATCAATGTGTTTTCTAACATATTTGAAGATGTCGCAACGAATATTTTTCGTTTACTGCTACTGAAATAATGAAAGTACAATTTATTTAACTTAATGATTTCCTTACAGCTGTGTGGGATAAGTAGTTTTTCCAAGCAATTATTGAAAGGTTTTGGATGATTGAAGGTAAATTCAAAGCGATTAACAGCAGTCGCAGCTTGAGAAGTTGTACTCGCTCAAAGGCAAATTGTACCATCTAATTAAGAAAGAATGACACGTTATTGTAATGCTGCAGAACACAATTTGTAGATTTACATAATTTCGACTCATGGAAATTTTTGTAATCTGTGTTAATGCTGTTGCTCTTGCATCAGTATAGACGACAGAAATGAAAACTATGGAAACCGCAAAAATAATTAAATACAATCTTTTGGTGGTGAAAAGTCATAGAATTTGACAGCTTCTCTATAGGTAGACAGGGAGAATTCAGATTCGGTATGGTGCGTAAATATAAAAGACATCATTTTTTTTCGTATTGTGTTGAGCTCTTTTAATCGAAGTCGTGTACGCATTTGAAGTTTTCAGTTTATAGGGTAATTCTCAGCGCAGATTTCATTCACTGATCCTTTTTTTCTACCATTCAGGATGACCACTTATCAGTAGGAATCCTTGTGGTTTACACATGTACATCAACAGGAAAGCTTTTTATTATATTTTCCAGCTTGCCTCCATACGCGGTCGTTACCGCACTATGAGTAATGAAGATCAAGCCAGTCCAGATAGTTTCATAATGGGATTCACTAACCCGATCACAGAGAGCTCAGTGGATTGTTTTGACAAGGCTGATGGTAAAGTTACTATTTTGGGTTACAGGCCACTCCGAGAGGACGCTGACAAATATGGCTTTAAAGGTAAAATATATGTTGTGTTTCTGTTGGGAAAACTTCGAAAATCGAGGGACAGTGCGCGAGAAACTAATATTTTCACTATCTTACCTAAATTAGAGAGCTCTCGTCAAAAAGGAGAAAAAAAAAACACAACAACTAAATCACTGGCCGAGTAACATACCTTCTCTCTGATGGCACTTTCTTGATTGTGCTAAATTAACAGTAGTGTGACGTTTTGTAGAACGATAGTTTGGATTTTCTTACTCGATTCGCTTTTTTTGCTGTAATATGTTGGTAATGATTACTGATACAAGAGAAAATGAGTTGATTTTATGGATTTCTAACTTTTGTTACTAAAGGGTCCTTTTTTTGTTTCCAATGGAATATTTTTGTCGTTGTATCTAGCAACTATATAACACCAAATATCTTCGTTCAGTCAACAGAAAACGAAGCAAAATTCAAAATTTTATCTAGTTAATAATTAGGAGGTCTTCTGATCAGTGTTAGGGCGCCGCTCGTCACTTCAACTCATTTTCCATCGGTGCGCGCGCCTCTTCGTTCGCTCGTGCGCTTCCTTTTTCCGTCATCAATAGACACACCTGCGCATGTTAAATGACAAGTCTGAATAACTTTCAGGTTACAGCCAGCACTTCAAACATATGTTCCCGCGGGATCGTTTGGTGTTTGGTACTGAACTCGGGACTGGGTGGTTTGGAAAGGTGAGTCTAAAAACAAAAACAAAACAAAACAAAATCGGTAGAAACATCATAGTTGACCTCAAAACGGTTGTCTTTTCACGGTATCGTTTGGTTGGTGTGATGCGCACGTCTTTCCAGACATTTTAAAAGAACATTATTAGCAACAACAGGTTCTAAAATAATTGTGGTCTCACATTGTTAACCATTTTACAATTGAAATGACAAATTCCTTCCATTCCCTTGAGGTTTACGAAGCAGATGCACTTCGCGTTAAAACAGGGTTGAGAAAAACAAAAGTGATGGTGAAAGTAAGTAGATTTGAACCGTTTCTGTAAGACTATCTTCCTTCATAACATGTAGTTTGTAGAACTTGAATAAGTCACTGTGGTGTTGTTTAACTGATTCGTTTTGGACTCATTCAACTCGAGGAACTGCGCAAACATTCTGACACAAAAGCCAAGGAAAGTTTCCTCAAGGAAACGGATATTTTAAGGTTAGTAACTGAAATCAACAAAAGTGTCTTTTCTCTCATTTCACAAAAAGCTGTAAAAAAAATGTCTTTGTCATTTATTTCAAAGAGTTCGAAAGTTTGACGGAAAGTTGGCCTTTTTTTGGCATTGAAATTGGAAAGTTGAAACAAAATACTATTTAATGCCGTCTGACCAAACAGTAATTATCTACCTCAACTTCACCTAGCGTGACTAAATATCATAATTATTTACAGTGTTTAAGGTGAACACTATATGATTTTTATTCCAATTTTTCTTTCAATCAAATAGGTGCGTTGAGCACAAAAACGTTTTGAGTGTTTTAGGACAGTCAACAGAGCAGGAACCATTTCTGGTCGTTTTGGAACATTCTCCTTTGGTAAGATAGATATCTATGTTGTAGACCTCCTTCAAATGCTTATAGAAATTCTTCATTTGTTGAATATCTTTTTTGTTACCTAACAGGGAGACTTGAAGAAATTTCTTCTGGATCAACGTTCCAACAGGAAGCGGGATGGTGTTCCGCTACCTTTGCGCATGTCTATTGATATCGCCTCTGGACTTCATTGCTTACATGCAAATTACTATTACCATAGGTGTGTGAGTTTTTCTTGTGTATACTAACGACTACCTGCATATAAAGATTAAATTAGTCGGAAAACTTAGTCAAGAGAGAAGACAATGCTTGAGAAATGGGGTAACAAATCTTTATGGGGTCTTACTTCATTGCTTCAGTATTAAACTTGCATTACGTACCACGCTGACAGCCTCTTACCGTGTAACGTGAAAAACTCGGGTTTTATTTTGCGACTAAGCGGTTTTCGATTTTGATGGAGCAAGTTATTGCAGTTTGAGACGACTGGAAGCAGTAGAATATTTACGTGAAAAGAAGCGTGATATTTTTAAATTTTCTAACTTGAAGATTACGAATGGACACCTTATTTGCTTGCAGATGTATTAATTTAATTGTGTCTTGTGAATTTTGCGCCTATTGTTTTGTGGGATTTTCTTTCGGCTTAAATTTTGTTTCTGCGAATGGACGACCTTCTACGAAATCCACAAAAATATAAACCCTGTTTTTTTCTGTAGCGATGTTAAACTCCGTTTACACCTGTCCCGAACATTCTGGCAAATTTTCCTGTTGTTAAATAACCTGCAAGCGACCTTTTCTTGCAGTTTGTGGTCGGGCTCGGTAGCTTTTGATCTCTCTGGTTCCTGTGATAACTGCTTTCAGTGAGTTTACTTAACTTTTATTTACTACAGCTATATTTTGGGTAATTGTTACTTAATGATTTGCAATTTTGTTTTAGTGACCTTGCTGCGCGAAACTGTTTGGTGTTTCCTGATTTGTCCGTGAAAATTGGTGACTATGGAATTGCAAGATGTAATTACAAGGTGAGATAAGGTCATATGGTTCAAACCTCGTGGAAAGCCTGAATTTTCTTCAACATTTAAGTTCTGCAATTCAGTAACACTTCTGACAATCATTCATGTATTTTAAGTTGCAAGTGCACGCTTATTTCAATACTTTTAAAGTTTAGGCCCAAGCGCAAAGGCACTTTTTTTTTGTCTCATAAATGTTTTGCCATCTTGAAATGTGTATTCCTTGGAGACAGACTTCACTTTATAAGATTGAATTTTATAAGCAATGTCGTTGCGTTTTGGTAATGACTGAGAGTTTTGAAAAGCGTGGTTTATGTATGGTTTCAGAATGACTACTATAACAGACCACAAGCCCCAAACACCATCCCTATTAGATGGTTAGCGCCAGAGTGTGTGGCCTTTCAAGAAGACGGAACCTTGGTGAATAAACTACTATCAAGTCAGGGAAATGTTTGGTGAGTAGCAGTGTAAAGTTCACAGACTTGGTCAGCTGTTTGTGGGAAAAGGAGGATTCAGAGTTTTTGTAGAACTCGTGGAACATGAGGGGACCAACCAAGGCGTAGATTGGACCATTTTGTTTCTCATCCAATCGTTTACAGAGTCAGGAGACACGTGACGTAAGCATTATATCCCCCTTCCCTAACCCACTTC